CAAATAAAAGCCCTGGGGTTTAAAATGGCCCCGCTCCGGGGGCCTATATACAGGTGAGCGACTTCAGGGCCATCATGACCCTCTTGTTTTTGAGAATGTAATTCATGGTGTATTTATTTTATTTTTAATACAATAGTTAAAGCAGAAAAGAAATCAGTTAGTACAGCAGAGTTAATATAAGTACATTTTACAATGCGTGAAATACATATATAAACTTACGATTAATTGTTATACATTTAAATACATTTTTAGAAGCATTTTTCTCATTACAATTTTTGTTATCTGTAAAGATACGGTTTCTACTTTGACAATCAAAGTAAACTTCGGTTGGATAACATTATCTTATCTCAGCAGACCACTTATATAGAATGTAAACAGTGTACATGTAATAACTATTTATACATGTTAGAGCAACCTTAGTTTTGCACTGATAATCAATAAGATTATTATTTCATATAATGATATACGACAATATCTTTGAAGTTTTTTTCTTTTGGGTTCATATTTTTGTATTGTTAGATTGTAAGCATCCTTTATTCGAATATAGCTGGTGAATATCGATACAGGGAAGCCCTTGTCTGGTTGGCTCTCATCATTTCTTCTTCCGTCACTTGAAAACTATAAGTTGTTGACCTAAGTCCTGGTGCAACATATTTTCCCACTGTACGGGTTTCTAAGACCAAGCTGCATGCAAAAATTGTTGCATGTGTGATTTCCAAGAACTTTTTCCATCCCAAAAGCGCCAAGATCTGTGGCCTCGAATTCCCTGCCTGCTGAGTGAATATCTGTATGGATGTATTTTCTTCCCGATTTCACACCCTGTATAAATGGTACATGTATTAAATAACGGCCGCTATGTTTCAGGAATACAATTTAGTTAAAAAATCAATTATGTTGGACCCTATAATATTATAGAAATTAAAGATTCACAATCGTTATATTTTTTATCTTTGATTGAGAAACCATAAATTAGGCATTTGAATAATGCCCTGCAGCACAACACAAGAATATTTGCACACAAAAAAGAGCCGTGTACTGGTCTCTGGTTCTCGGTCCAGTATGCTAATCACTACACTACAGCAGTCGTTGCGTTTTCTTCGTGCAAAATGACATAATACATATTTAATTTGGTTTTAACTTTATTTTGACATTATCCCGTAAATTAACATAGATGAAATAAACTTTATTGTTACATAAATATTTATTAATATATATTAAATATATATTCATGTAACCTTAAAGTTTAGTTCATCTGAAAAATAAGGTCGTGAATCATTTTCAGTCATGAATTATTCATTTCATAATTGGCTTTCACAACATATTTGAGACATGCATACTGAATTTATGCTAATTAACTTAGATGAAAAGATATTTCTGGTTTTGCTTTATTGTGAATCTTATAAAACAATTCGGACTCTGTTTTGTAATCAACAAGGAACTTACCTGCAGGTCACAAACCAATATTTGTTTCCCCACTAAAGCCATGTCCAATGCTTAACGTATTTACTATACTATGAAGACCACCTTGTTCTCATATCCGCCATTGGAGTTGAACTTCTCATAAGAACCCTCAATGAAAGGTTTCTATAGCGACCATGCTTCATTTTTTAACGTACCGTTCATCTTTAAATGCTTCTTTAAACCAGAGGAGATTTATGGCTGATATATTCTTCATCTGTGCGAGAAGTGGTATCAGAAATTCAATTTCATAAGTTGACCCGCTTATTCTCGGGAAGTATTTCTCTTGAAAATGCTGCGCATACTTGAAAGCTCGCTTACTTGCAGCTATCTCCGGTACCTAGTTCTTCAATTTACTCGCTGCCTCATCCTTGAACACTTTTGTAACGCATTTTGAATTGTTCCGTGGTCCATTTCCATACAAAGTTCCCATGAAGGCATAACGACAGGCACCCTCCTCAAAAAACATATCCTTAAATTTTGCATAATACTTTTGTCCATCATAAAAATCCCCATTGATAGATTCATAGGTTTCATGAGAGATTGAAGATCCCATCTTGACAATTAAATAAAAATAAATTAAGATTTAACTTCTGAATGTGTCGTCTCTCTGTTTCAGTAAACAACTATAATTAGATAAGATTAGATAACAAGGGCCATCAGTGATGACATGTGTCGCCTCATGAAAGCCAATCGCATGTTTAGCATTAGACCCAAAAATTCCGTGAATAAGTTTGTTTAGAAACCGATTTGTCGCTTTCGTTATTGCATGGTGATTTTATAAGATGGTCATTCTTACGGAAGCGTCATGGTGCCAATTTAACATGATCTATAAAAACGATAACTCCTACGTAGGACTTTGTAACTCCTACGTAGGAGATAAAAAAAACCTAATTAGGAGTTTATAACTCCTACGTAGGCCTTTATAACTCCTACGTAGGAGTTAAAAAAAGCCTAATTGGGAGTTTATTACTCCTGCGTAGGACTTAATAAGTCCTACGTAGGACTTTATAACTCCTACGTAGGGCTTTATTAGTCCTACGTAGGACTTTATAACTCCTACGTAGAAGATAAAAAACCTAATTAGGAGTTTTAAAGTCTTACATAGGAGTTTAAAAGTCCTACGTAGGAGTATATAATCCTACGTAGGACTTTATAAGTGTTCATTTACGTAGGAGTTATAAAGTCCTACGTAGGAAATATAATGTCCTAATTAGGCTTTTTAATCTCCTACGTAGGAGTTACAAAGTCCTACGTAGGACTTACAAAGTCCTATGTAGGACTTAGAAAGTCCTCCGTAGGAGTTATAAAGTCCTACGTAGGAGTTATAAAGTCCTACGCAGGAGATTAAAAGTCTTACGTAGGAGTTATAAACTCCTAATTAGGCTTTTTTATCTCCTACGTAGGAGTTATAAAGTCCTACGTAGGAGTTACAAAGTCCTCCGTAGGAGTTACAAAGTCCTACGTAGGACTTATAAAAATAGTGTTTCAATTCAACCTTATAAGTTTATGATAAAATGATTTATTCGCATTTTGCTTTCGTTTTTTAAGTCTATAAAATCATATTTTATATTTCTTGCATATTTCATCTGTAAATACGACAACTTACTCAAACATGTACGTTTTCTTTGATGAGCTTCTACTATTTCCCAACCTTTCATGTAACTTTTGTTGATTTCATCTTAACCCATAACTTCATGAGCATTTTGTAAAAAATGGCTGTTTTCGTTGTAAAGTCTCCCGTTACAAGTTCAAATTGCTATAGAACTATAAAAACTGCTTCAATACTAATTAAACTTGACACAAATGTTGACAGGACCATTGCCTTTGTAACAACATGCCCAAGCTTAAATTTCCTTTACCATGGCAACGAGGGGACATCTCAAAATTGCCAAATATCACTATTTTGCGTTCATTTTTTCCATCAAAATTGATTTCAAAGTGCTGCAACTTCTCAATGGATTGAGATAGAGTCAAATGCTTTTCAGCGTTGGTTACACGTTACCTTATAACCGATCTTGGGTAATTTTAGCTTCTCACAAGTCCAAAGTTTTCTTGGCGATGAGGAGGACAGCCGCCCCCTTCAAACCAGACAAACAGAAGGGGGCACATGCCCCTTCTGGCAACCCCCTGATGTATCTTTTGGTTGGGGGACCGCGCCGAATAATAAGGGGGGCTTTATAAGGCATTTTTTTCACCATTTGAGATAACAATAAAAGAGGGGGGGGGGTGAAAAAGGCGTTAAAAGGCGTGTATATCGGGTAATGGATTAAACTCATTCTTAAAATAGGAAGAAGGAATGTCAAATTTGATGAAAAAATTATAGGCATTCGTTTGTAGCAGTAACAATGTATTGTCGGTTTTGACAAAGGGTCATGATATTCACAAATAAGCTACATAGTTGATCAATACGCATGCATAGAATAATTAAACTGAAGGTCATCAAATTTCTTACAAGAAGATACTAGCATTCTTATATGAAAATTTTCAAAGCGACAGAACCAATATTTAAATTGATAAGGAACCAAATTTATTATGCCAAATCGTTAATATCTAAGGTCTAAGACTGATATTGTGTGCTATATAAAATAGATTTCTCTATTCAAAATTGGATTTAATAAAACTAATTATTGACCTCTATAATGCAACCAAATTGTCAGAGATCTACAATAATAATTATGTATTGTATGTTAATAAATGAAATATTTCGTTTAAGATATATTGCATTTTGTAAGATGGTCAATTCTTCACTTTTAATTCATTCTTTTAATGATAACAACAAAAACATGCCATTCACTTGCGTAAGCAGTAGAGTTTCAATGCAGAAAATAACTTGATCGATTGCGGTATTGGGTTAAAAGGTTAGTCTTAATAGCATGGCTTTTAACTGTTTATTTTTAATCATATAGTAAGCATATGGAAATTGGAGACACCTTAATGTGATAATTCTTGAACAGTTTTGCTATTGATGAACATGGTGATGTCACTTACTAAATCAGTTACAAGGGCAATGCAGAAAAACCCCTGCCAAATTATCCAAGTAGATTCTAAGAAGATCTCGTTTGAAGGTTTGAAGAAAACACGTATAAAGATACCATATCTAAAACATACATTGTACGACCAAATGAAAGTTCGACAGCATATTCGTGAACACTGCCTATTGTACAAAGTAAGCAAAAAAAATGCCTGTGACCAAGGTCATAACTAGATATATATTCGCAAGGTGTCTGCATACATTTTTTATTGGAATTGTCCATTTTCAGTTTTTTAAAGGAGGGGGGGGGGGTAATTTTAATAGGTTTTTATTATATAATGAAACCAAGTGGCCAACTTTAACCATTGGCTTGTGATTTTTCCAAAGTCAATATAGATATTAAATTAGGCTGTATATCAACTACACATGTCTGGAAAGTTTAAGACAAAATAATTTGTAATGTGTCCTTATATTAGTTCTAAGAAATCACCCATTTGTTTATAGAATAAATCAGCGAGCTATGCATCGGTTTATTTCTTAATAAGGTTTTTATCACCCACAACTATTTACACTGGTAAAAGCTCCATTCAAACAAAATAGGGTGTTGAAAATTAAAATCATCGAAAATAGTAAGGCTAATAGTATTCTAATTAGTGAATATGTATGTCCAAAAAGCAGGAATGTGAAAATTACCCAGGTATTAGGTAATAATAATGACTAATGTGTGCAACATACGGCTGTAAAGATCACCACATTAATTAAACAGACCAGCATATCTAAAAAGTATCATATTTTATAAAATGAATTTGCGGGCATTAGATTTTAAACCACATTCAAACAAAATTCAGGAACTTGTTTTCTTTTCAAGATCATTGACTTGAAAATGACGGCCTGGCTATCGTATAATTATAATGACAGTAAAACAGATACATGTATTAGATTATTGTTATTTTCTTTTTTATTTTCCGTATAGCCAAGCTATTTCCTAACTTCTCATGTAATTTAAATATAAGCAGACATAATGTAATTGAGCCACCTTCTCTTAGGTAACGCTAATTTCATGAATAATGCACCTAGACAGCACATGTAACTTCATTAAAAGTGCTTCGATCACATGTTGTCTGTTGCTTTTGAGTACCAGTAGATTGGCAAATGTCTCTGTTTTACCTAAAATAAAAAGTAATATTGAATTTTATTTTATGCTTTTCAGTGAATTACTGATAATTTCACAGTGAAAATTATCAAAATATAAGTTCACACTTTTCAATGACAAAACTACTTTTTCTTAAGATTTTCCCAATGTGGTACCTCAATTTTATTTTTACTGACAATTCTGACAATGTCAGGACTGTTTCGAGAAAAGCAAAACTAAAATTGATAAATAACCTTAATGTCAAAAGTAATAAAAAGAAGAAAACTTCCTTCTATTCATTCAAATTACCAATCACCAAATATCGTCTCTAATTTTTTGTTTCATTTCTACAGCTCGAAAAATACATTCCTTCCACATGCAAAACTGCTCTTGATGACAATCGGTCATATTTAAGTATTCTGCGAGCAATAACTGCCGTATGCTTTATGAAAACTTGAAAAGCAATGACAGACATCAGCCCAAAGAATAAGTAAACAACCCAGCGTTCGTAAGGCAGCCTTTCAAAAATTCCAGGTTTTCCAATTTCCTTAATCCTAGCCGCTTTTTGAATGTTTACACATCTGTCAACACTTATTTATCATCTGTTACAATCCTCAAATAAGTTTTCTTTCTTCTAAAAAGGTGTATGACTAACAAATCCAAATGATATCCCTCTGAATCAAACACAATTATTTTCCTCCCGTGAAAAATACACAACTTTTAAAAATGGCGGCCGCTTACATTTCACTGAGCCAGATCTTATATAAATTCTCCTACAAGAATTGTTTGTTTTAATTATTAAAACAGGCGATCATTCATATTATTTGAATACAATGAATAATATCATCGCCATTTAACGTTGATTGTCGAACTTCTTGTATTTTATGAGAAATTAGACTAATGCAGGTACATAATAGAGGCTACCAGTGGGGAAAACAAATTTGAATATTCAAGTTAATATCAAGAAAATTTCGTTTTAACTTGTTTTTAAGCATATAATAAATAGAAAATGTGTTTGTTTGTTGTGTAAAATATAATTTTATTTCATCTTTTTAACTTTAAAAACAGTATTCTCACTCTTGGCTCTATTCGTGAGAATACTGTTTTTAAAGCCCACTCGATGAAATAAAATTTTATCTTAAACACAAACAAACAAATATCTTCTATATAATTACACCAATTAATAATACCGTTGAGAATTAGCCTTTAATATATAAGCCAGGTTGTCATTCTCAAGAATGGTGGAAATATTTGTATTGTGGATTAAATTGTAAAATGTCTGTCTTAGCTGCCGTATAAGGGTTTTCCTTTCTTTCAATTTGATTTGTTATATTTTGTGTCTTGTTTTACTTACTGTGTTGTTTGTAAAGACAAATTCGGCGAAATTACTTATGTATGGCGATTGTTTCGTAAAATGCATAATGAAGATACATTGCAATTAAATGTAAAGTAAAACTTTATTGCATCTGTAATAAAGAATGTTGTGAGCCGATAGCGTTGTAATATAGCACCCATTAAAGAAATTATATTAAGTTATATTAAGTTAATTTGTTACAAATTACTTTTAACATTTTTTAAACAAAAATCAACAACTTGTTTAACAGCTAACAGTATTTTGATACCGATTTGATTGCATTTAAGAAGGCGAAACATATGCGGCCGTCATCAGATCTACATGGTCTGAACTTTAGTCAGATTGTTTAGATTACAAAAAGTACCATGTTCCGGGTAAATACTTGCAGATTCCAATAGTATATGATTTTCCATTGTAGCTCTACTGTAGGCTTGCAGAATGTTTTTCTATGTGGCATTATTGTGATGATGATATGCATCGCAACTTCTGCCAGCATACCAGGAAAAATACAGAAGCCACATTAGAAAAATATATACCATTGAAATTGGAAAATATTTGCCTGAAATAATTATGATGTTTGATTGAAAGTTATAACCAAAATTGAGCAAAAAGAAATAGCAGTGAGCCAATGTTACCATAGACAAATGTCACATGCTCACCCACCCTGGCACGTTATCTCTAATAACACGAGCATAATAGTATTGCCTTGAAAAGGAGGATTAGGGCGGCAAAAATCGCATACAGTGTGTAGCAAGTACATGTATGTCAATTTCTAGGCCGAAGAAAAAGGAAAAATATATCTGTAATAACTAAATATTTAAAATGGATTACTCAGTAGCTTAATTTAAGACATTTTGCATGATATACAAACAAGAAGCTTCAATCAATGAGCAGGTAATGTTTAAACGTGCAGGCAGATACCTTCAGAAGTTCATAACTTATAATCAACATTGACTGCGGTTAGAAATATAATTCAATCTTTGACAAAGAGTGTTGCTGAATCTAAGGATCTTGTTCAACCTGTTGAAGTGCAAATTGAACAAGAAGACGTGAAGCCGTCTGTGTCTTGGAAAACAACTAGTGCAAATGAAAAGTGCAACTTCCATCAGATTACACATGCGAAAAGTAAAGCTCATGCCATTATGGTACTGGATCAGTGTCAACGAATACAGTAGAGTCAGACAATCAAACAGAAATAGAGAGTTCAATCTCCTTCAATGACGTTTTTTATGTGACAGCCCTGAGATTGAGATTGTTGGATACATAATACCGGTATCACATCGGTACTACTAGTATTGTTTTCCCTACCATCGGGATGACGACTCGCGATAAAGAAACGTTGAACGATTACGAATGACTTAAAAAAGGATACCGGCTAATACATGTTTCCAGACCAGCCTGCGCATCCGCGCAGTCTGATCAGGATCCATGCTGTTAGCTATCAGTTTCTCTACTTGTTATAGGGTTTGTAAGCGAACAGCATGGATCCTGATCAGACTGCGCGGATTTTGAGAACTTGATTTTGGGAACTTAACCTCTTCTGCGCCCATAGTTATAAGCTGAAATAAACAGTGACGAATTCAAGCGTAAAAATACGTCACTTTTAGGGTGCACAGTAATTATTTTCTGAAAACAACATGAATTATATTGTGACAATGTCAACACATATTACACATATACATCATGAAATTATGAACAATAATATAGTACTACAATATTATATATTTAAAATAGATATCAAAATTCCCTAAGGAAAAGAAAGTGGGTGGGGTAGTGTAAATATTTGTTTACATTGAGGTGCGATCGTTACAATTCGAATGTAGCTGGTAAATATGGATACAAAGAAGCCCTTCTCTGGTCGGCCATCATCAATTGTTCTTCCGTCACTTGGAAACTATAAGTTGTTGACCTAAGTCCTGGTGCAACATATATCCCCGTGTAAGGATTTTCAAGACCAAGCTGCATGCAAAAATTGTTGCATGTGTGATTTCCAAGAACCATTTCCATCCCCAGAGCACCAAGATCTGTGGCTCCGAACTCCCTGCCTGCTGAGTGAATAGCTGGATCTGTAAGGATATATTTTTTTCCCGATTTCACGCCCTACAAAAAGATGATAAATGTAAGGATAACTTTCAATATTTTAGACATACAGACTGTTATGATATCAAGATTAGATAACTCTTTACATGTTTAGTTGTATAGTTAATGGGATTACTTCCCTTTACTTGATATTTATTAATGCTATGTTATATATATGATCATGCCTCTCTGATACCTGAGTCATTCTCACTTGAGCTCTGGTCTTAACAACATGTATTAAATGGTTTTAATAAATAGTAGAATAGTTTGAATCTTGTTATCATCCATACAACATAACACAGACCAAACTATTTTACATGTTTAACTTAAAATGTTAACATTATGATATATAATGTGATCTGAAGCTGATTTTATGATTTTATTTGTAAATGATTTAACTGTTATAAATGGTACATGTATAAATAACGGCCATTCTGTGTCACGAATGTTACGAATACAATTTAGTTTAAATAAAAAAGATAAACTGAGTTTGAAGCTATAAATTACAGAAACTAATGATTTACAATCGTTATTTGTTGATCCTTGATTAAGAAATCATATTAGGCATTTGAATAATGCCCTGCGCAACACAAAGTATATTTGAAGAAAAAACTCGATATGAACGCTAAGAGCCGGGACTCGAACCACGTACTGGTCTCTGGTTCTCGGTCCAGAATGCTTATCACTACACTACAGCAGTCGTTGCGTTCTCTCGTCCAAATTGACCCGGTATATATTTAATTTTATTTTAACTTTATTGTGACATCATCACTTTAATTACCATAGATGAAATAAACTTTATGGTTATATAAATATGTATTTATAAATATACATGTATATATAAAAATATATGATATATATATTCATATTACCTTAAAGTGTATTACATCTAAAAATTAGGACAGTAAAAAATTATTCATTTCATAATTGGCTATTTGAGACATGTATTCTGAATTTATGCTGATTATCTTTGATGAAAAGATATTTTTTGTTTTCCCTTATTGTGAATCTTATTAAACAATTCGGACTTCTGTTTTGTAATCAAATATGAACTTACTTGCAGGTCACACACCATATATTTGTGTCCACTTACATGCCATGTCCAATGACTAAACGTATTTACTATACTATGAAGGCCACCTTGTTGCTCATATCCTCCATTGGAGTTGAACTTCTCATAAGAACCCTCAATGAACGGTTCTATAGCGACCATGCTTCTTTTGTTAACATAACGTTCATCTTGAAATGCTTCTATAAACCAGAGGAGATTTATGCCTGATATATTCTTCATCTGTGCGAGAAGTGGTATCAGAAATTCAATTTCATAAGTTGATCCGCTCATTCTCGGGAAGTATTTTTCTTGAAAATGCTTCGCATACTTGAAAGCTCGCTTACTTGCAGCTATCTCCGGTACCCAGTTCTTCAATTTACTCGCTGCCTCATCCTTGAACACTTTTGTAACGCATTTTGAATTGTTCCGTGGTCCATTTCCATACAAAGTTCCCATGAAGGCATAACGACAGGCACCCTCCTCAAAAAACATATCCTTAAATTTTGCATAATACTTTTGTCCATCATAAAAATCCCCATTGATAGATTCATAGGTTTCATGAGAGATTGAAGATCCCATCTTGACAATTAAATAAAAAAATCAAGACTTAACTTCTGAATGTGTCGCCTGTGTTTCAGTAAACACCTATCATTAGATAAAAATACAAACAGGAAGTTAAACAAACTAAATCTTTTAATGTGAATCATAAGGTATTTCCGTGAATAATGAAGTTTCGAAATCGATTTGTCGCTTTCGTTATTGCATGGTGATGTTATAAATAGAAACAGCACATGATCATTTTTGCTGTTACAATAACATTGTAATAAAATATCACGATCCTAAAAACATTTAAAATTACGAGACAAATAAATTTGTGACATTCCGAACTTCTTGATTATCGAACCATGGACTGAATAAATAATGCTTTACAATCACCTTGTTTAACCTTAATTAAACATTTACATAATACATGTACATGCAAGGCGTTATGCCTAAGAGTCAACTGCAATTCAACTGCAACTGAAATTCAGGGGCGTGGGTTCAAACTCCAGAAGGGCCAACATTTTTTTGTCTTTTTTTCCTTTTAACATTATATATGTATCTGTCAGATCACTTATATATATAGTTAGTGTAGATTTGCTAAATAATGCCAAATTTTATAGCAAATATAATACCAGATATTTTCAACGTTTAATAAAATAAAAACTACACGGTAAAAAGTGTAAACTTTGAAAACAACCCCTCATTGTACTAAATTTTAAGGATATTTTGAATAAGGCTTTATATAGGGAAATGGTCAAATAAGTGTTTAAAATGGGTGGGATAGGACAACATTCATATAGATTTGAAAAACATTTTGTTTAAACAATCATTTTGCTACCTGAATGTTATTATTTGTTTCTTAACAATGAGCAATAGGAGAACATCATAATGATGATATAAATTTTTATTATAGATATGCGTGACGGAATTGCCTTGAAAAGCAGGACTAGGACGGCAAAAGTCGCATACAGCGTCTAACAAGCATGTCAGTCTCTAGGCCGAAAAAAAACAACATTCATCTGTAATAACTAAATATCTTTACTGGAATACTCAGTAGCCTAATTTCAGACGAATGATTTACATGATGTACAAACTTGACGCTTCACACAATTAGCAAAGATACACCGCAGATACCTTCAGAAGTTTATAACTTACAAAAATGATGTCCTCGTCAACATTGACTGCGATTAGAAATATAATTCAATCTTTGTCACAGAATGTTGCTGAATTGTTCATACTGTACGTTGAAGTGCAAATTGAACAAGAAAACGTTAAGCCGTCTGTGTCTTGGAAAACTACTAGTGTAAATGATATGTAAAGTGCAACTTTCATCGGATAACGCATGCGCGAAGCAAGCTCATGCCATTATGATTCTGGATCAGTGACAACGAATGTTCCAGAAAATAGAAAAAAATGTGAAAAGTCAGACAATTAAACAGAAATGGAGAGTTCAGTCTCCTTCAATGACGTTTTAATGTTACACCCCTGAGATTGAGATTGTTGGATTAACAATACCGGTGTGGCGTGAATTTTCTCAGACCCGTGAGGAACATAAGACTTTACGTTCTGCGCATGCGCAGATAGTTGTCGGACGGGCCCGTGAGAGATGTAAGACTTTCTGGTAGAATTGTTTGTAAACCTCGTTTAGAAGCTCACTAATTAATCCAAGTGTAGTTCTTCCTTGAGCTTCATGAGCATAGAGCCATTTTCTACGATATCTACTTTTATTTATCTGTAACAACGTATCGTGTGGATGAAATATTGTCCAAATCAGTGTCGTTCGTTCCTGATGTCGTGTTGATGGAAAATCCTGGAAAATCGAAGAGCTTTGATCGAGGTAAGCTTGTTTATTTTATATTAGAATCTGGTAGTCCCAAGCATCGTTGAAAGTATGTTTTGCTGATTTGTGTTTCGATATATATGAAAGAATCTGGGTATTTTTTAATATTTGGTATTCGACTGGTATACTAGTACTCGGCAGAAACGAATATAATAGAACATTTCGAAGAGAAGATGGGCAAGGTCACACTGAAACCCCTTTCCAAGCTGGAAATATTATATTTCCAGGTCTCAGTGGAGATATTATGTTTCTTTATTATATACTTATAAATGACATATGAGAAATATATTGATGAAATTAAATGCTTATTTTTCATTTTCCTTATTTTCACTGCAATTTTTTTTTCACTGCAATGAAACATATTTTCCGTATTTTCACCGGTGTCTTGCCAGACTTCTTTCTGCTATATTCAGCCAAATTAAAGTCTTTTATATTGTGATGTCAAAAAAGAGATTTTTCTATAAATGTATGAAAATTATCATCTTTCACTTATGGCTACCGCCACTCATAAAATTTTTATGTTCATACCACTCAATAAAAATAAATATTGTATTTATATAAAAAAAAAACTTGCCTATCCTCTATTTCTTCAGTTAAAATTTATGTTTATTACCTGACTGTAATGACTTGACAAATGAAAATTTGATTAACAAGTCTATAGATTATGCTTATGATTGAAATATGTTTTTGTTGGGTTTTACGTAATTTGGAAATATAAAAGGTTAAAGCAGCTAACTAACTTGACCTAACTATGGTTGTGTTTGAATCTTGCCAGGAACTTTGATTTATTCTGTAAGATTATAGTTTGGTGCTTAAAATAAATTTGGTACCCATTCCTACAATAGTGTATTCTGCCACCAGTGATGCTTGAATGAATCTGTAGGGACCCTGCCTATTGACTGACACCAAATATACAGTCTCTGCTAAAACGAAAGATCTCCTAGCATGTAAGTTTATAGGACAGCACTGTGCAGGTAAAAGACACAGACACTTTGGATGTGGAGCTCGTGTGTATGTATTATTATGAACGGCTTGTATTAAGGTTTTTTTTACATAATATATGATATATAATTAGTATATGTGCTGGGATTGACACATATTCATTTTTTTTTATTTTTAAGGCGTTTTGAGCTCCACACCCCAAGTGTCTGTTGTAAAAGGTATCTATAGGTTAAAAGCACCAGCTTTTTTATAAGAAAGGTGAGGCTTCAAGTATTACCCTATGTGAAATTAATTACAGTCTAACTTGCCCATGCGACCACGTGTATTAAGCGACTTTTGTCTTAAACGACCACTTTAAATTCCCCCCGATCATTTTCTCTCTATATCTTTAATGTATTAAGCGACTTTTGCTCAACGCGACCAGCGACCGCTAATTAGTCACCTAATTGACATCAATCTTTTCATTAAACGACCACTTTTACCTGTCAAGTAATTGTGTTTTTAGAGAACGCCACCTCGTTATGTCACAAGTGTCAGCAATCAAAACACAACAATAAACGTGTGAAAAATTCTATTTCCCATACCGTTTCAGCGTATGCAAATGTAATACCCACTGGTGTTATCATTTGTAATAAAACTTCTGTTAATAATTTCTATACAGATCATAAGGATTATTTGAACGGATACAGTAAGATTGTGGCCGAGTTGATCGGCTCGGTCGAGTTCATTTAGGGCCGAACAAGATGATTTCATTTAACTACTCAGTATTTGTGTAATTCACTCATAGACGTACAACAACATTCACTACTGTATTTTTATTTTTAAAAGCATAAGGAGTGGTCCATTATTTACCTCATAATATGCAAAATATATAAATCCAAATTAATTAACATCCGAGCGGCTATTTAAAAGCCGAACATTGATTTTTTTGTTTGTTTGTTTCATTTTACGCCTTTTCCCAACAGTATTTCAGTCATATAGGCGGGTAGTTTCCTAACCATCGTTCCTGGAGAGTTACACCAGTACTAGACCACTTCCTCCGCGCTAAACTACCAAAGCATCTCCCGGGGATCGAACCCACGCCAGAGAGGTAACTGGATTAGAAGTCATCGACTCTAACCCCTTTGACCACGGAGGCGGTCCGAACATTGATTAAAATTGTTATTATTTACTCATAAAAACAGACAAACTCCTTCGCTGAAACCATTATTATTGATGCAATGAAATATTGACAGTATTAAATTTAGTTGCAACATATAATATTCTCCACTAAAATTTACGTTTCTCACGTCTGACATTTTTCACGACCCTCCCGTGAGATTCCCTTCGGAACTGCCTCGCTATTATCTAAAATAACCTCGGAAACAATACGGATTGAAAGTAGTTCTACCACGTGGTTTCAGATGTAAACAGAAACAGAGATAATGTAAAACGAATGTATATAATTGACATCTAATGTATTCCGGTGCTCTTATGCTTGAAAATATGTCTGACAACAATTTGTAATTTAAATATGTCCACTGATGTTCAACTTCAAACAAATCCGACTAAATGTCAACAGGTTGGTTTTTTGTACTTTCGGTTTCTACAACCATAGTAATAAATATATAAATAATGTATTGTTTGCTTTTGTAGCTATGAATTCACTTATGTTTGGTGGATTTTTACTACATATATTGGAAATAAACTCCCAGCCAGCATTAAATTACTATTTGTTTACATGTTTAGTTTTTTAGTGTAGGTTGGACCGAAATACCGCATCCGTTCTGTGTATTCATACTATTGTGTTCGAGGTCCTTATCTGAAGACTGACGGAAAGGGCCGAGTAGTTGCGATTGGTGAGATTCGTAAGATCTTACATTTTTCACGGGTCTATACACCGATATCACACCGATACTACCAGTACTGCTTCCCCTACCATTGGGATGACGTTTCGCGATCAAGAAACGTTGAACTATTATAAATGGCTTAATAAAGGACTTCCGGCTTATAAAAAGCCAGCGAGCAGAGGAATTTTGTGTATTTGAGCTCAGCTCGCGTCTCAGCACCGGGCTTCTTAAAATGGATATGTTCCGCATGTCAAAGTAATGGAGACGTTCAATCATGTAAAGTCCACGATACTGATGTTCGTGTCCTCATTGATGGATGGATTTAAAAATAATTATGAAAATGTGTTGAAGATGATGACGATGTGTCTTGCGTCAGAATTTGATCTCTACCTTAAAGGTTCAGGTCAAACTTGCAGTTCAAAAGCTATGATATAAATTTTTATGTACAATGATGTTTGTGTTCGACCAACAATTCTGTCATTCCAAGATGGATTTAAAACTAATTATGCATAAATTTATTGGACATAATGATAATGTGTAGCAAGTATGAATGAGATT